TAGATACGAACTAATATACCTTCAATTATTCCAAAAAAAGTTTTAAGAAAGAGTTTTAACGAATTTTATCATGTAATAATTATGGTACATTGCCTATTGCTGTACTTGCTGAGTGACTGAGTCGAGTTGCGAAAGAAAAGGCATAAAAAGAGAATCGGGTATAATTTTATTTATTTGTAAAAGTGTCGGGTTTACTCTAGAAACCACAATTAACAACATTATTTCCAGTGAATTCCCCCTTGACTTGCTTCATGTGTCTTATGAAAGGGTTTTTCTTATTATGGTTATGTTGAAGGGTGTTTTTGGAAGGAACTCGAATACTTTAGGCGGTAAGTTCCTCGCCATGTGGATAGGACTATCTTGTGAGTAACTTGTCACCACACCTATGTATCATTCATTAAAAAATAACTAATTTAATGTTTAACATTTATAGAACATTTTTTTGCTTCATATGTCAGTCGTGTTTATGCTATAATTGTATTAAATTGTGAACGTAGTTTATTAAATTTTTACGTACATGTTATTTTTCTTTGAAAATAAAACATTAATGTTTCAAAATATACTTTACAAAAAACTATGAATATTTGTGTTTTTGATTGATATAATATTGTTTGTTGGTTTTGGAAGAAGTAGTATTCTAAATTTTGTATTTATTTAGTTGGCCAAAAAAATCTAATAGACTTTAAGTTATAAATATTTTTGGTAATTTTATATTATTTTAATATTCGGGAACCTATTTTATATTTATTTATCATTTATTCATATTAGTAAACAGATAAGATTTGTTTCATTTGGGTCTATCCTTGGAAAAAAAGGAAGCGCTTAAGTATAAGCCGATGGTGTTAAAGGATGTTAATTCTTTCAAAATAAATTATTATATTTAAAAAAATTTTAATGTAATAATATTCATATTTATTCAATTAAAATGTTTTTTATATCAGTGAATTACATTGTATCAGTAAAGTATTTAGTATAAAAATGCGAATAAGCAAAAAAAACACTTATGTATTATCGGTGTTCTAATTCAAAAGAAAAGTTAAAAATGGAATATTAGCTATTGTTTATTCTGTAATTTTAAGGTTGCCTCATTAAGGCATGTTTCTTTTCACAGGAATACCTGTGAATCTTCCTAGTCGATACTTCTGAGTTATAGGTCGTATAAACTTTGTAATTAATATTTTATTTTTATATTTATTGTCATTCTAAATAATGTTTTTCAAGATTTTTCTTAACAAAACCATGCTTTTCTAATACGAACTTTTCAGAATTATGGGTTATCAAAGACGTTAGTACCACAATATTTTGAATTGTAATTGAATTTAAACAATAAAAGCATTTCTGAATTTAAAAAAAAAACAAAATTTATGATAACAGCACTAATGATTATATTTATATGTGTCGAAGCCGACCAGATGGTCACCATCTGTCGCTCCTTCAGGTGCTTTAGCATAGCATGTAAATTTGTCGTACATTTATAAATATAACAAAATATAAAGAATCTAAATAAAGTTATGAACAAGTTAACAGTTTTCGTGTGTTTATTATCTGTTATTTCTTTTGTTTTCCTTGTGGAAATTCCTTCCTAGTGATTGTTTCTTTATTCGCACCGGTAGATTTGTCTGTAAGACTGCATAAAAGCTAATCTTTACAAGTTTCTAATCGACTAGCAACACACCAATATTGCATCTGAACCTTTTAAAATGGTGATCACTCGGTTCATCCACATGATAAATTAATTATAACTTCCATTTTAAATAAAGATTATTTTATGTGCTGTATTTATTTGTTTGTAAATTTTATACTAACATTTGGCATTTTTTCTCCCAAAAATGTGCACTAATTATTATTGCATATCTATAAAATAGCATTAATAAATTTGCTATTGTATTTAAACCTATATTTTTTATCATTTTTTTATAATATTCTATTTGATAATCTTTGTTAAAACTTTTTTCTCATTTATGATATTTTACGAATCATTATCAAATATTGTTTGTATTTATAATCTAATCATATAGAAAGACATAACAAGCTATTACTAAAATTGATTAATTTTATTAACAAAATGTAAAATTTTTATTATACCTAAAAAAATCATTATTAAAAACGCTTTAATGGAATACTTGTGATACTAAGTTTTTTTTTCATTGATTTGATAATAATAAAATTTATTTTTATAAATAAAAATTATTTTGAAGCACAGAAAGGCAGAGAATAAAAATGTAAATAAAAAAGAATTTTAAACTAAGGATAAGATTGTTTAATAATTAAATTAGATAATTTTGGTAAAAGAAACTATAGCATATTTACTAAAAAATATAAATATGGAATGTCTTAAGCTTTAGTGAAAAAATTTTAATTCTTAATTTTAAATAAGATTTCCATACTTTTTTTTCCTCTAAGTGTTAGTACCATTTACAGTTTTTTGGCATATTTATCACCAAAAATGTCTCCAAGCTAAGTATAAATACAATTACTACTCAGTGGTATTAAAAAACTTTAATAATGAACGTAAGCCAAGAAATGCTGGTGTAACCCCTCCTAACAAATATAACATTAAATATTTACTTTTTTCAGTTATTTTCTATTTACAGCTGTTTTTTAAGCCACTTTAGTCATCATACACAAAGTATGACAATAATGTAAATTAAAACTTAAAAAAACAACAATAGTCTATAAATATTTAATAGTATACATACCTACCACATGTTAGTGTGTCTGATTGCCTCCAAAAAATGATCAGGATCTAGAAAACCCTCGTCATTCAATTTATCTCCCGATTTTACCTTCATTGTCCCTAATAAAGGATTAGCAATACACACTTCTGTGATGAATCTGAACCAGAGAGAAAAGTAAGGTCAATCCGCCACTAAGCGAAACCAATACAAAAAAAGCATAATAAATATAATGAATTAAAAACATTTCTCGTTACATTCTTGCTTTATTTGCTCTATTTAAGCCACTCAAATAGGTCACCCGTCGAGTAAAGCATATTTATATTACTAAAATATTTCATATGATTCATAAATAATTCTATTTTTTTTACTATGTCAACGAAACAAATGACTTCGCCCTTCAAATATTAAAACACACTAGGAATCGGTTACAAATTTTTATAATAATGCGCAAAATATATTTTATTCTAACTTTTTTAACTAAAGCTTAAAAGCCTTATCAATGTGTATTTTAAAATTTTCGTGATATTAAATTCGATTTGCATTAAAATTTCCTAATTTAATTTTACGATTTTGTCCTAACAGATATATTTAACATATGTTTTTGTTACATTGTTTTTTATTTTTTAAAATATTTTATCAACATTTTTGATAATTTTTTTTAATATTATACTGTCCCACATCAATTCACTGAATTTATTGAAAAATATAAATTAAGGTTAAAAAAATTAAACAATATCATTTATCAATGAAAGGAATAAATTGTGTTTATGTAAAGGCTTTTTCTATCTAAATTTTATTTGATTTCATTTTAAACCAATATACTTATAACTAAACCTTTTTTTAAAGCACAAGGAATTTTTTAATGTTAAAAAATCGATCTTGGTCATTTGGTATTTAATTCTTTACAGTCATAACTTTAGACTCAATTTTATATGCAAAAAGTTTACTTTGTCGCAATGGCTGTGTAAGAATGAATCTCAAATATATATTTTTAAATAAAAATAGATGATAAAATGGGATAGTGAAAATCAAAATGTTTAAAACTATTTTTTATGTTCATTCTGCTTTAACATTCATTATGTATATTTAATAATATAATTTATGTTTCACTGTTTTTATTTACATTTTTTATTTAACAAACAATAATATAGATACTACATTGATTCATTTTATTTTTTCAGCATATTACTTACATTTTATTTTGCATTATAACATCATTCAAAAAATTATTTGCTAATATTGAGAAAAAAGTATTTTTATGTAATGTATTATTGTGCTGCATATCATAATTAAATATTACAGACACAAAATCAGATTCATTTTTTGATCAGAACTATGAATAAAATAATCGAATTCTTTAAAAATTTAGTTGGAAATCTGAAAAATTACATACAAAAAATACATTAAAATGTTCATTTTTAAAAAAAAAACAAATATTTCATTTTTAATAAAATAATCTTAAAAAAATGCCTAAATGAGATTTTGTATGTATAAATTCTATATTTTGTACAATTAATTACTGATTTGTTTAAATTGGATGTTTTCTTACAATTTAAATTGAAGCAATCATAAAAAAAAAATTCTGTTTTTTTTAATCTTTTTCGACTCAATTTCTGATCTTATTATGATAATCATTCAATTTTTTTTGATTTTCTAAATTTTATACGCATTTTTCTTTATATTTGTGTTAAGAATGTGAAAATATTAATTTAACAATGATATTTGTTTGATGAAATTTGATAATATTTCTAATATGAATATATTGATAATTAAACTAATAAATAAGAAATTAAGAATTCGTTGTTTTGGAAGATATGATATCCACAAATTGCGTCATAAATTTTTGTAAATATTGATTTTTATATTTTTAGCTTCGGATTTTTTTACCTGAAGCCTGACTGAAATGTTTCGTGCTCAAGGTGCAATTAAAAATATATTTGCTCCATCTTAAGTTTTAAAAAAGTTTTAATTCAAAAGTTTTTTGACATTTAATGGTTTTTAAATCGTAAAGTATGTTGATTATACAACAATACATTTAAAACCCCAATTTCATTTTAAAAATTTTGTCTTATCAAAAATGTGTGATTTTATTTAAAGCATTTATTTTTTCAATATTATAAAAAACACTTTATTAAATGTGTTTTCATAATCTCTTTCTATAAATTATTAGATCTTAAAAAATAATTCCTGCTTCTGGACAATTTTTTTGTTTCTTTTAGCTAACTAGTTAAAGTTTTAATTTAAAGCTGCAAATTACAATAGATTCTTCTTTGTCTGACTATAAAAACTTACATTAGTTTCTTTAAAAAATTTCTAAAATTACTCTCCTTCCGAGAATTGAACTCGGGTCACCAACGTGACAGGCTGGTATACTAACCACTGTACTAAAGGAGATGTAACACTTACGAATCAATATAGTAATATTTACATTTAAATAAAATTTAGTAAATAGTACTAAGTCACTATTTCCCTTGTATATTTATTTTTAATATACTTTGCAATTTGTCAAGGCAAAATCAAGTGCCAGTTTTTTTATATTGAAATCTCTTAGAATATACATTTTTCGAATTTCAAAATAATTGGTATCAACAAAAAAACTGTAATGCTTTATAGAATCTCAACAACTTTATTAATTGTGCAATTTTTTTAAAAATTGAGAATTTTATGTGTAATTCATTAGTACTATAATACTAAAGGAAAAATAATTTACGTGAAATAATTTACTATTAACCAATTCAAAAAGCCATTAGCTATTCATAATTTGTTAAGTAAAAAACCAAAAAAGCAAAAAAATTATAATATATGTTTGAACACATAATATTGTTTATATTTTTTATTAAGTTTTATTAAATGCGCTAACAGACCATCTTCAAATTTTTAAAATAATAAAAAGTGTATATAACCGATGATATAAAATATTTTTTTTCATACTTCCATTGAAGGTGCATTTTCGGTTTTCTCGACTACAACTTCAACATTCTTCGTTGCATCTGTTTTTTTCCGGGTAATTCTAATATTTTTTTCAACTAAGCTATAAATATACATAACAAAGCATAGTAAAGACAATAATCCAAAATACTTACAAGCATCAACAAAATTTAGCTCTTTATCTGGTTGCGGTAAAAGTGTCATCTAACTAATTTTTTATTTCTAATCTTATATATATGTTTTAGTTTGAAATGTTTCAATTATCTGTTTTATCTTTTCGTTGTTTCCTTTGGTTGTATTGTCTTATAATTATGATATTGTTTTAAGTTAAATGTTTTGAAACTTTTTGTTTCGCGATTTGATTATCTTGTGATATTTGAAGACATTCAATCCTATTGATAGGTTTCTCAAAACAATTTTAAATTTGATTCGTAAATATTGTTCAATTGAATATGATTGGTAAACTAAAATATTATATAATATTTTATCAAATTAAGATTATCATATACTTTATCAAATGAAAAATGTATAAGATAAAAATGCTATGACTTGTTTATATTAATTTTCATGTCAGATTGATCGAATAAATGCCATATAAATTCTTATCAAAAAAAAGTCATAGGGTCTTGCTAATAAAAAGAATTATAGAATAGGATGTAACAATCATATTTTTTGCTTGAAAATATAATAATGATATTATAATAAACAAAGTTCTCAAAAACCAGCTTTATATTAAATAAATACTTCTTGTGAAATATTTGAGAATCTTTGATTTGTAGATTATATTCTACAAATAAATTTTGTAATACTAATTTATAGAAATCCTTTACTATCTATTTTAAAAAAATCTAGAATGAAAACCAAAAAAAATAATTTAAAAAGTAGTAGGTTTTTAAACGAGTAAATATTTAAAATTTTATTTAAAGGCAACAGAATTATTAAATTGAATTGGTTTTCTTTTTAGTTCAAGGCGAAATAATTTTTTGACAGTTATTTTTCGCTTGTTATCCAAACAATTTTCATCCAGATTCTTGAAATATGCTAGAAAAAATATTTTGCAATTGTTTACAAAATGTCCGAATAATTGTTAATTTTTTATATTTTGAAATTTTTCAGAAAAAAAAATCATAAAACGTAGATATAAAATTTTTTAGGTATATTTTATAAATACATATGTACTTTCTCAATCATAGCTATGTTTCTTTCGAATTTTTTCATTTGTTTTTTAAGAATTTAAACATTTGAATTCTAATAAATAAATATAGTGTTGTTTTTATTTCAAAAGTATATATTACCAATTATTTAAAACATTTTTTTCAACAGAAAAAGCAAATTAATTACTAGAGTTTTTTAAAGTATCGATTATATTCTATTAAAAAAAATTATTATATTAAAAGAATTTACTGGTAGCTATATTTTTTATCGTTTTTGAAGGATTTATCAATTTTACATAATAATATTCTTACGTTACTGTTAATTATAACTTTCACAAAAAATATCGGAAAAGGTGTATAAATAATTACTTATCGAGTTTCCGTTATCAATATTCACTAAAATAATAGTAACTATCACAATAATTTTAATTTTTGAAGATGTAAACACGTAAAACAACTAACCATAAAAATTTTTAAATTTAGAAATAAATCTTTGACTAATTATTTGTAAATAAAAATAGAATTTAAGATTAGTATTATGTGATTTATTTATAGGTCTGAAAGTAATTAATTTAATAGTAAAAAATAAAAATTTTATTTAAAACATTTTTTAAATGTTTTTTTATTTAATTTTGCTAATCATAGACTACATGATAGTAATTTATATTTCTTTTTTATGAGTGATAAGTTATAAAAAATTGGTTATAGTACATACCTATTTTATGTTTATCAACATCTTTTTAAAAACTCTTCAAACAATATATCTTTGCTATATGTGTGAAAATTTAAAAGAATTTTTTATTTCACTTTTTCGTCCCTTTTATAAGGCGAATATTAATATGATAATAATTGAAAAAAATGCAAATTCTGATTTTATTTATTTTAAGATTCTATTCAATGTAAATTTATATTGTATTTGTCATACATGTTATTTTATCGAATAAAAAAATGTCTACTAATACAGTGCCATATTTAATCAATAAATACAAACCTTACGCCGGTTTTCAAAACATATCTATAAGAGTAATTTACCTTTTGTCTAAAGGTCAGTTTATTTTTTCAAAAAACAACAAAACAAAGCATAAATTAATAGTGCAAAAAAACGAATGAAATTTAAAAAAACTTCAATATGTATCTAATGAAGCGATCAAATTTACAATCTTATTTTTATCTAAAAACTTCTAAACTTACGTGCTCTTTCTATATTAAACATTGCATCATAAATTCAGGATGAAATACCTAAACACAGGATGCGTTTGCAAAAGCTTGAAAAAATGATCTTAAATAACATTTCTTCATTTTGAGGCGATGGATAAAAAAATACATTAATGATTATATATTGATAAAATACCAAAAAAATGATCCTGGCATATTTTACTGGCGATCAGTTGACATTTATCAGACTTGGTACATAAGGATAGTCTATTTGATTAAGAATGTTATATTGTATCTGATTTTTAATTTAATTGAGCCCGTATGCTCACCTATGGATTACTCGACTCCTTTGCCGAATTTGTGCCAAAAGTCATTCTTAAACCTTAAACAGTTAATTATATTTATATTTTGCTTGTATCTATATTTTGTAAATAGGAATATTTGAAAGATAATATTGAACTTTGTGTCCTAATTCATTATGTATTGTATTTTAGTATTATTAAGAAATACTATTCAGAATATTATACATAGTTAGAAATCACTAATAAAGATTCATATGAGTATAAAAAATTAGGTAATTTATTCTAAAAAATAATATAATGGTTATATCATAAATGCAGCAATTAGAGAAAATTACTATTTTATATTGTTTCAAATATATATTTTTCATGCTTTTTTTGAAAAAATAAAATATATAGGTGTATTATAATTCATCAATATAGGTTAATCAAAATTTAAAAAATTTTACTTTTTGTTAATTTAAGGATTTATTAATTGTAAATATTACTTGTTATTGGTTAAAAGTGTTAGTATTTTGTGTTTTTTTAAGAATTCTGCTTCGATATTTATGTTGTCTGGATGTATATCATGTTTTTTTTAAACAAAAAATACTTATATAAAAAAACTATTTTATTGTTAAAAAATCAAAAAAATAATTATTACGATAAAAAAAACTAAAAAAATTGCCTAAATTTTTTATAAAATTTAATTATTGTAATATTTTAAATAGCAAATATTTTTCAATATAAATTTACTTTGTTAAAGAATTACTTATAAATATGTAGAAAAAAAAGCTAAATATATATGTGATTACTATATTTCCATATTTTTTATTCTATATTAAATAAAAATATCTAATTGATCATTTTTGTTTTCTAGTACTATTACTTTATTTATTAAAAGATCTACAAAAAATAGCTTTATCAATAAACTCATGATCATTTAGAACACGAAATGCAGTTAGATCGTATTTTAAAACTTTTTTGGTTGTTAAAAATTCGAATTTATAAAAATATTGATTTATAAAACTAATAAAAATATTAAAGATTTAAAAATAAAAAATCATACAGAAAAATATATTCTTATAAAAAAAAATTTGCAATCATTATCATACTAAAACATATGTATATTTTTGAATAGGTTATGAAACCGTTTTTATCAAATTTATTATGAAAATGTGTACATAATCTTAGGTTATGTATCTTTAAAGCCAAAATAATTGATAAAATCTTTTTTTTTGAAATTACTAATAAATGTTTTTTCTTAAACTAACTAGGAAAATACATTTTATCGGCGTAATTGTAATCATATACAAAAGTTTATCCATTAAACTTATATATATCATCATGAAAAGTGATATTATTTACGAAATATATGTTTTATCAGAATTCTTAAAATAAAATAAAAATGTTTTATTTTGTTTTTGACTTTATAAATGGAAAGGCTATATTTATTTTTTTACGGAGACTTGATTTACCTATAAATATCAAAAGGATTTATATCACTTATAAGTGTTCTATATTAAAAAAAAGCGCTAAATACTATAAAAAAATATTAAAAACCTTTGATCAGTTTTTTGTATTGAAATATTGTTAAATAACAAATAGTATGGAGGAAATATTAGTGGTTAGAATTAGATCTAATAGAAATCAATTTAATAAAAATCTACAAATTATATTATTTATTTTTTTGTTTTAATAGAAAAAAAAACATTTAAAAGTTTACAATTAATATGACGTAAAGTTTAATATAAATATACAAAAACTGATTGATTTAAAAAGTAGCATTATTCTTCGATATTGAGAATTATTACACAAAAAAACAATTAAATCATTATCATTCACTTTGTGCTTGTGAAATTAGATGGAATAATACAGT